CCCCCCCCCCCCAATTTCTGTGCGGCCGAGGGACATTAGCTGCGAAAGTTGAGCATTGCCATCCGGATGTTGATGCCTCTGTATTCTAGCTCGTCTAGCACGTGTGACGTGTTTGCCCCCTTTCAGTAGAAATGTGTGGTCAGTTATTTCTGTTGCCAGAGGTTAAATGGGAAAGATTGCTGCCCTTTCTTGCTGCAGAATAAATGAGCCATGTGTATACTATGCTTTAGAATGTTAGTCAAATGCATGGTGATTTTATTCCCTATATGATTGTGATTTGTGCCTCCCTTTATAAATAGTGAATAAGTATTAGTAGTGAATAAGGTCCATAAAACTAAATGAATTGTTGAAAATCAAGTTGGCATTGCTGGGTCCCAAAGTCTCTCTTTTGATTATACCAGAGAGTGCCCCTGTTTTAGCTGAATGGAATGCAGTTCCAGTAATTGGTTATGTAACAATTACAGGGGAAATGTAAAGTCTATAGTGGCTTACCTTTGGTTTTGGGACTTGAAGGGGTGGGTGGGGATTCTGATGCATTGTTCAGATTTTTAGCCTCTATTCTGCAATACTCTATTCTGCAGCATTTGTATTTTTCTCAGTAAATACTGTAACCTTCACCAGAAGTTTCAAGTTTTAGTAAGCTCTTAAAACCCTGGTAGTATAAGCAAAAACTGCAGCCGGATTGGGAAGTCTCTTGCCTTTCAGGTTGAACAAAAGGCCACCGAGCTAAATGGAGCTGTATAGTAGATTGGCTCATATGAGGTTTTGTGCTTGAACACAGCTTAAGCAAAAGTCCTTTGGATTCTTAAAAATGCACCTAATTGAACAACATGGTGAATGCTTTTGAGTAAGCCTGCACAAATTGAGCCGCATGGTGTTTGAGGATGGGGAACTGACAAAAAGCATAAGTGAAACTTAGGCAAGCATCATTGCCTTTCCATTTTTAGGATTTGGGTTACTGGATCAGTATGTTATTATCTAATCTTGTGGGATGATCTCTCCTTTTCTTCCATGAAAAGGAGTCATTTGAAACAAATAATTGTCATTTCTCCATTAACCTTGTCTAGTGTGAACTCAGAGATGCCCATTAACAAAAGGCAACCTGTCTCATAATTGGCTGGAAAAATATTTAAAAATCAATAGCAGAAATATGTCCAAGGGTTGATTACACTCCTTTTTTTCCCCCTGCGTAAAGCTCTATATTCCAAAGGAATGCTTTGTTTAATATAACTATGCCTGCCCAATTATAACATCGGAAGAGAGTCTGTTCCATATTTCTCCTGATGGGAAGGAGAAGATGACAGTCAGGAGAGTTTAGATTAGGAGACAGGCCTTCTTGGTAGTGGCTCCTGCAATATGGAACGTGCTCCCCCTAGAAGTGCAATTAGCTCCCATCTGCTGGCATTCAGGAAGGTTCTCAAAACAATTTTATTTCAGCAGGAATTTAAGTCTAGGGTATTTTACAGATGTAAACCTATCTTTTCTGGTTTTCTTCTTATTCTGACTTTGTATTGTTGATTGTTTTATGGCTGAAGATTGGTGCTATGTTGGGTTACTCATATATGCTGCCTAGAGTTACATGGATTGGAGATGTTTAAATAATGTTAAATAATCGAATATTGTCTGTCATATGTTGCCTGTGCCATTTGATTTTTGAATATGCATTTGAATGTCACTGTATAATACTTATTTACTTGGGAGTAAGCCAGGTCTTCTAAGAAGACTTTCATAAGATTGTATAGTTGAGTAATAATGGTGGAAAGTGTATTCTTTGACATTTTATTCAAATGTCATAAGTTGCAGCTTACAAAAAAATATACTAATTAATATAATTGCATTGGAATTAAAAATGCTGAGATGTCTGGTATTCCATATTTTAAAGTTATTGTTCTGTAATTTACAGTGTAGAAGCAGAAAAGTAGAAATGTTAATTGTTCTGATAGGACGAGGAATTTTGAAAAAGTTCAGTTAGACTTTTTAGATGTGAAGAGTTATTAAATGAATATGCACTAGGTGACTAGCTGCTAACATGCTGGATACACAAAGGCCTGGTTTAGTAGAGAACTCAGACATTGCTTGCCTTTACAAGTACATATGTAATACCAGTTAAGATTCTTTTCTTTTTCTAATGTGCAGATATTTTGTAAGGATGTTAGAGCAGGGAACAATAACTCTTTCTTCCTAGGGGATTTTAAAGTGACTTCACTCACTAGAATCTACACTTTGCTTTATTAAAACATTGATTCACACATTCAGGAATTCTGACCGAAAGTTTGGATACCCTTCACTTTTTTAACAGCTGGTTATTTTCTTGCCTAAATTCTCTCTCTCTGCCATTTTTAATATTTCTTTTTCTACCCAGAAGGATGAGAGGCATTTCATTAAAGGGCCTTAGGCTTTCCTCCAGAGACTCAGGGTTTTTCTTAATATAAACTTATCCATACCAAATACTAGCAGAAAGGCTCCTCTTAAAGATGTTTGCATTTTCTAAGGCTTTACATCCAGCACACAGAAGAGGGGCTTCTTCAATGCTGATTGCACGCTGTGTGTTATATTTCTCAGGAGTTGCATTTAGCTCTCCCTCTTTTCCCATTTTCAAGTGAGGAACCTTAACTCTTCCTCTTTATCCAGACCTATTTAGGATAGTGAAGTTGGTGTGATATAAACTGTTTTTTAGGATATTTGAAGTATTTGTGTTTTATTTATTACAGTATTGCTGTAAGCTGTCTTGAAAGCCGTATGAGCAAAAAAGCAAGATGGAGATTGAAATAATAAAATAATTGCAATGAAAAGTAGTTAGAGTTGACCTGAGTATTGTGGATTCCTATAAAAATAGTGGTATTGTTCAGTTTGTACCTGAGAAATGTGGATGTTTCTTTCCAAAAGTTGGGATATGAATTGCAAATCTTACAGAATTACTGTAGGAAATTTAGGTAGTATTTCTGAATAATCATTCATTATCACCATTCATGTGTGATATGTGAAAAGACAGTAGTTAGCATCAGAAAGCATTTTTCCAGTTTTTTTTAATCCTTGTAAAAATACATCATATTAAAAAAGTGATACCAACATTTTCCCATTCCCACTAAGAATATCTGTATTATAAGAGTGCAAGCAGGCAGATGGTGTACTAATGCAAAGAAACTGCTTGTCCCATTGTCTGCAGGAGTGGGAAATGTGATAAAAGTACTTCTGAAAATGTTAGCTGGTTTAACAGTCTGGCCACAAATAAATAGCAATTTGTCTAACCCGTCTTCTCATGATTGTTAAGAGCTGATCTTTTTCAGTTCTTGGAGAATGAATGTTAGTACCAATTTGTACCCCTAGAAGCTCATTAGCAGAGCAAAACTATATTCCTCTTTAGGGTGTTCCTATGCTGAATTGAACAATGATTATTTTCTGTTTATACAGGAGAGCAGAGAGTAATCTGTACAAGGAATTATGCTCCACTCCTCAAATAAACATTTCACAGGATAATCTATGAATAATAAATAAGCATTTATATATAATACCAAATAATGCTTTAAATATTGTTGAGATATGGTCTTAAGTAAAATTCTGAAAAATTAATCGTAGCTCAAGGGGAAAAAAAGTTTTAGCTTGGCATCAGAAAAACAGCAACTTAAGTGTCAGGAGAACATTCTTCCAGTGAAGCACCATCATTGAGAAGGGCCTTTCCCACGTCACTAATTGTTTTTGCATATTTAAAGATTATTTTATTGCACAGGGAGGCTGATATTACTCTACTGTATATTTCTATTCTCAATCAGTGAGAGATTTAAATATCATTATCAAAGTAATGATAAATTACTCTTCCATGTCAGGAGAAGCTAATTGGAGAAGGAGCTTAAGATGGATGAGAGTCCCTAAAGAAGTAGAAACTAAAAGAACAGTTGCAAACAATTTCAGTGAGGAAAAAAAATGCAGGACAGCAAAATAAATGAGTATGGCTACACAAAAAGCTTAGTGAACATTTGAAAACATAAAAGGACACATACAGGAAATGGAGAGAGGGCCAGGTCACAAAGGAAAAGTACAGGCATTTAACTTGGAACTGTAGAGCTGGTGTTAGGAAAGTAAAAGCTCAGAGTATTGGACTGAGAACAAAAATGGCTTCTGTAGATATGTTCACAATACAAAGAAAATATCAGCATAAAGGTGGAGGCAAACTGCTAACCGATCCAGAAAAGCAACTCTCAACTACTAGCTTTGTGCAGTCTTCTTAAAAAGCAGCCCTTGTGTGTTGTACTAGGAAATTGTGAAAGGCTGTATGAAGAGGCAGGATTGAAGCTTGAGTTTGATAAGAATATAGTCAGTAAGTGCTTCTTTACTTCCAATTTTATATCTCTGGGAGCTGATGAATTACATCTATGGATAGTGAAAGACCTAACAGATGGAGTGGCCATATCTTTATGCATTACCTTTGAGGAATTTTAGAAAGCTGGTGAACTGTCAGATGACTGGAAGAGAGCAAATGCTGCCTCTATTTTCAGAAGGGAAAGAA